CTCAGCCTCCCAAGTAGCTGGGATTACAGACATGCACCACCACATCCAGCTAATTTTTGTATTTTTAGTAGAAACAGGGTTTTACCATGTTGGCCAGGCTGGTCTCAAACTCCTGACCTCAAGCGATCTGCCCATCTCAGCCTCCAAAGTGCTGGGATTACAGGCGTGAGCCACCGAGCCCAACCTGATTTTGTTTTAACATATACAATTTTAATCTCTCTGTAACTTATTTTGCCTTATATTTATCCAAATGTTTAGAAATTTGTCCTAATAATATTTGTTACTCTTTTGCCCACTAACTTGAATGCTACTGTTAACATATACCAAAATTTAAAATATAGTCTTACGTCTCTCTGCTTCTGCTTTTCTAATCTGTTCCATTGAGCTGCTTGCCTATTCTTGCATCAGTATTTTGCATTTGATCATGATAGCTTTGTAATATGTTTTAGTTTTCTAGAAGTATAAATCCCCCCTATATTATCTTTAAAAAAAAGTCCTTGTTATTCTGGCAAGTTTATTCTAATAAATGAACTGAGAGAAGTTAAAAATAAAGGCTGAGGGAGCTTTTTGTAACCAATAAGGTCATATCTTTTTAAAATTTTTTTTTTGAGATGGAGTCTTGCTCTGTTGCCCAGGCTGGAGTACAGTGGCCTGATCTTGGCTCCCTGCAACCTCCACTTTCCCTGCTCAAGCCATCCTCCCACCTAAACCTCCCTAGTAGGTAGGACTACGGGTGTGCATTAGCACACTCAGCTAATTTTTTTGTATTTTCTGTAGAGATGGAGTTTCACCATGTTGCCCAGGCTGGTCTTGAACTACTGGGCTCAAGCAATTCTGCCTTGGCCTCCCAAAGTACTGATTACAAGCATGAGCCACTGTCTCAAACTCCTGGTCTCAAGTGATCCACCTGCCTTGGCCGCCGAAAGTGTTGGGATTACAGGTGTGAGCCACCGTGCCTGGCCTGGTTTAACTATAAAGCTTATTTTCTTCCTACGGCCAAATGTGATGGCTCACACCTGTAATTCCAGCACTTTGGGAGGCTGAGGCAGGCTAATCATGAGGTCAAGAGTTCCGACCAGCCTGGTCAATATGGTGAAACCCCATCTCAACTAAAAATACAAGAATTAGCCAGGTGTGGTGGCATGCACCTGAATTCCAGCTATTTAGGAGGCTGAGGCAGGAGAATCACTTGAATTTGGGAGGCAGAGTTACAGTGAGCCAAGATCGTGCCACTACACTCCAGCCTGGGTGACAGAGTGAGACTCCATCTCAAAAAAAAAAGCAAAAAAACCTTGTTTTCTTTCTAATGTATCATGTTTTTCAACTAAAGGAGACTTTTTAAAAAAAATCCTATTATATAAACTATTAGATCCATGTTTAAAATTTTTATTTTGTATTATCTTGCTTGAAATAAGTGCCTTTTTTTTCTTTTTAATTGCTAGCCATGCAAAAAACGAAGGAAAGATAATGACAGATCTTCCTGCAAAACTATTACAAAATATTTATCACCACTAGGGAAGACTGGAGACAGGCTTTTTGCTCCACCAAAACCTAGTAATATTCTGGATTATTTTAGAAAGACCTCGCCCACAAATGAGAAGACACAATTAGGGAAAGAGTGCAAGATAAAGTCATCTGAATCATTACCTGTTGACAGCAGTAAAGATTGTAAGACACCTTTGGAAATGTTCTCAAATGTAGAGTTTAAGAAGAAAAGAAAGAGGGTTAATTTAGCTCATCAACTAAATAATACTAAAACTGAAAATGAAGCTCCAATTGAAATTAGTAGTGATGATAGCAAAGATGACTGTAGTTTAAATAATGATCTTGTGGAAAGTAGTACTTCTGTTTTACATTACAAGAAACAAGTAGAGGTACTTGGAGAAAACATTCAAGATATAAAAAGTCAGCCAAATACTGTGAGTTCCCTGCAAAATTCTAAAAAAGTAAATCTTAAACAAGGGACCACAAAAAATGACTTCAAAAAGTTGAGAAAAAGGAAGTGCAGAGATGTAGTAGATCTATCTGAAAGCTTACCCTTGGCAGAGGAACTAAATTGGCTTAAAAAAGATGGTAAAGATAGTAAACAGATGGAGAATACTACAAGTCATGCAAACTCTAGAGATCATGTAACTGAAGCAGCCCAGTTGAATGATAGTACAATAACTGTCTCATATGAGGAATTTTTAAAAAGTCACAAGGAAAATCAAGTGGAAGAGATACCAGACTCTGCAGTGTCAATTTGTGTTCCTTCTGAAACTCTTGAAGAAATAGTAAGAAGTGGTTATACAAGTGAATCAGAAAACTCTGAAATTTCCCAGCAGGTACGCTTTAAGACAGTTACTGTTCTTGCGCAGGTTCACCCTATTCCCCCCAAAAAGATAGGGAAAATACCCCCAATTTTCTTGAAACAAAAGCAATTTGAAATGGAAAATAGTTTATCTGATCCTGAGAATGAACAGACAGTTCAGAAAAGAAAATCTAATGTTGTTATACAGGAGGAAGAATTAGAATTGGCTGTGTTGGAAGCTGGAAGTTCTGAAGCTGTGAAACCAAAATGCACTCTAGAAGAAAGACAGCAATTTATGAAAGCATTTAGGCAGCCGGCATCAGATGCACTTAAAAATGGAGTTAAAAAGTCTTCTGATAAGCAGAAAGACTTTAATGAAAAATCTCTACGTGAAGAAGGAAGAGATGACAATTCTAAAAAAATCATGGAAAATTCTAGTATCCAAATGGTTTCAAAAAATGGCAATTCACAGTCACACACTGATAAAGGAAGTTTTCCAAAGGAGAAAAGTAAAAAGCTAAAGAAGAAGAATAACAAAACATTAGATACTGGGGCTATTCCAGGTGAAAACATAGAGGGAGACACTCAAAAGAAAGAAACAAGCGTTTTCTTAAAAGAGAAACAGTATCAAAATAGAATGAGTTTAAGACAAAAGAAAACAGAATTTTTCAAAAGCAGCACTTTATTTGACAATGAAAGTCTTGTTAGTGAAGATATAGCAAATGATGACCTTCTGAAGGTTTCTTTCCTGTGTAACAATAATAAATCGTCAAGAAAAACCAGCATACCAGTTAAAGATATTAAGGTTACACGTTCTAAGGCTGAATCTGAAGACAGCTTGCTAAATGTTTCCACACCCAAGTCAACCAGAAGATCTGGAAGAATTAACAGTACACCTACTACAGAAACCATCAGAGGTATTGATTCTGAAGATGTACAAGATAGTAGTCCAATAAAGGCTTCTACTCCCAAAGCAGCCAACTTATTGGAGAAGCATAGCTTATACACAGCGGAATTAATAACAGTACCCTTTGATTCAGAGAGCCCTATTAGGTAAGGTTTGTTTTTGTTCTAAAATTCTAGTATTCTGAATGTATTATTAGCTGGGGACAAAAATGCTTTAAGTATTGGAGGGTATTGTTTTTTTCTAGAACATAGCTATTTACAAGAAAAAGAAGAGGATTGATTTCTTTTCTTTCCTTTCCTTCTTTCCTTCTTTTTTTTTTTTTTTTTTT